ATGGTTTTATAAAATGTAGTGAACTGTACAATGACGTGTTTTATTTGCCTCCTGTGGTTTAGATTCATATTTTGCTTTAGCATAAGTTAAACAAAATTAAGACTATGATTATGCTAAGAGGATGCAGCCAGTAAAGACAGAAAATGTTGAATTCCTCGAAGTCATAAAGAATTATCAACTGTGCAATTAGTAAAGACTGAACATATACACTGAAGTCTATTGAGTCATAAATGAATGAGAAAAATGTTGTGCTTAGCAATTTGGTGTGTATATTTCTCTTAATTATTTTAAATTAATTGCTATTGGCTACAATCATTAGAAAAGTCAAGATTTAAGTAAGGTACGGCATAACCCTCCTCCTATAAAATGAATCTAGTTATATAGCCAAACCCTTTTTTTAATTATTTAGGCTACTGAAAAGGAAGAAGAAGGAAGGGTCGACGAGCAGAGCGCTGGGAGTGGCTCTGAGCTCCTTGCAGCCTGTCTCCTGCAATGCTGCCCCAGGTTTGAGCACCCTAAAGCCCCTCCACTGCCCACAGGGAGCACAGATCCCCCAGGCAGCCCCCTCTCCCGCAGCACAAGAGCTCACAGATGTCCCCTTTTCAGGCACCCCTGGACAGTTTCCCCCCTCAGACCTGGCCTGCCTGCATGGCTGTGAGCAGCCCCTGCAGCGGGGCAGCATGCCGTCAGCTCCTGCACCACCATCTGTATGACATTTCTCCTCTGCATGGTCACGAGAAGATTATTGTTGAAATGCAAGGGGGGGGAAAAAAAAAAAAAAGTTTTCTGATGTTTTATAAATTAAAAGTTTCTATTTTCTGTCCTGACATGTGATTTGGAGATCACTTGTAGTCGCGTTTCATTTCCTTTTCAGAATAAAGATGGTTAACCGTAAGGCAGATATCAGAAGGTATGCCCTTTTTCCCAGGTTTCCATTTTCCTAACAAGAAAAAAAGGAAGCCTATATTTTAGGGGAGTTTCTTTCAAAGTCTCAGGTGAAAAAGCACTTATTTACCCTGTCCTAATTAAGTCATTCCCAGCCAAGATTAGTGTGTCCCAATAGCCTTACCAAGAAGATGACAGATGTCAAAGGCAACTGGAAAATAGGTGAGCAGAGAAACTACTGGGGAAATTAAACACTAGCCAAAAAAATCCCCATTATGTGTTCTGCATCTGCAAGGGAGGAGACACGTTCCTCCAGGACTCTAATCTCTATCACTAATATTATTATTAAATATTTACATATCACCCTAAGTTTGCATGACACTTTACAGAGATAAAAGATGCTCTCTTTGCACTGAAGATCTTACAGCCTACGTCAGACGAAGAAAGCAAAGTTAGCAGAAAGAAGACACGATAAAGATTAAGAAACTGATCTAATGCTGGTGACCCAAAAGCATTTTTAAATTGTAATGGAGCATGGGACTAGGGCTGTGGGAAGCTAGTAGCCTCAGGGCCCATTTTGCTTTTAGTAGCCAGTCAACCAGCTTCCAAACTCACAGTGGTCATGTGGACCTATTTCCCCACAGCTTTGACCCAAACAAATAAATAATGGCATCCTGTAACCCCTAGGAAAACACTTTTTTTACTCTGACTTGTCTAAGGAAAAGAGAAGTTGGGCTGCCACAGTTCAGCCATGAGTTTTCCCAGGCTGCACAAGTGGGAGAAAGACCACTACTTCACCACTGAGGTGAAAATAGAAATAAGAGTTGCTCGGTCCTTCACCTTGCGTTTCCTCGATTCTGCTTAGTTCCCCCACATCATTTTCATTTCTAACAGCAGAACTAGAGCGCCCTGATGAACTCAGCCTTCCCTGTCAGACACACATGGCCAGGGTGGCTCTGGCCTTCAGCGGTGGGGTGAAGCGCCACAGCAGCAGGAAAACAAAGGAGTGAAGGTGGAGAAATGGGGATGCTCTGCGCAAATCTACCTGCCTGGGGCGTGGGGCAGCCTCCTGTCCAGCAAAGTGCAGGCAACGCACCCCTGCAGGAAAGATGCTAAAAGCCCCTCTTGTGGAGGATAACATTCTTTCTATAAAGTCTGTAAAATAATTTAACCTATTTTCACCTAGGCATTGTTAACATGTCAGGTAGCCAAGCCAAGCCCAGTGCTAAGCTGCCACATGAGAACACCCCTCTGCTGCCTTTTCCCCAGGGGCGCGGGGGGAATCCGGCATGCCCAGCGGGACCCAAGCCCGCCCCACAGCTTCTCACCATGTGGTGCCACAGGACCCGTCCCCAAATCCCCCGGGGCTGTGGAGGTGGCAGCAGAAAGAGCAAGGCCACCGGGCTTGGGGACAGCAAGAGGGAGATGAAGAGGGGAGGTGCCAGCACCTCCACTGGAAGAGGTCTGGGTGCCCCAGCTCAGGGGGCAAAGACCCCTTCTGGGTCCCCACCACCCACCTATTATTTTACTTCACAAACTTGGTGATCGAGAAAAAGAGTATTTCTGGTTTTTAAATTTTTAGAAGTAATCCTAGCCTAATTAATGAGGATGAGCGCTTTCCCCAGGTTTCCTAGAAGAGATAACATTTGTAGATGGACCTGAGCCACCGTGCAGAGAGAAGCAGCAGCACTCAACCTGAGACAACAACGGGCAGGACATGCAGGGCAGATGAAGTGCAGCCTGTGGCATATGGCAACATATATATCTGCAGACACAGGCATGCACGAGTGTACACACACACATACATAAGCACTCGTATATATACGCACATAGACATACACACACTCCTAGCAATTCAGTTAGACTAATTTGCTCCGGCTATTCCACTATTTTACTGCAGTCCTTGTATAGTACTTAAAGAATCAGGTTAAGCATTCTGCATTAGATACACAAACAATGCTTCTTTACCTCCACATGGGTGTTGTGAGACTTTAATTAATGTTTATAAAGTGCTTTCAGATCCCCAGAAGAAAGGCACTATAGAAGTGTGAAGTCTGATTATTTCACAGCATACAAAAGTAGAGGTGAAAAGAAATATTCTCCTCCTTACACATAAAACTACTGATCTCAACTCCTGCATTTAAAAAACCAAGATATTAAGAAAGAAAAGAATTCTGACCATGAACCTACTTCAGGCTTCTCCTTTGCCTTTTTCATCTGATTTCTGGTTGAGTGAAATAATAAACTATTGTATTGCTGTAAACTCTTTGTAAGTAGATTTGACTAAGACAACAGAGTTCAGTGCCAGCAGCTACTCTGATCATTCTTTTAAATGGAAATTTACCGTCTGCTGCATCACATGGAAAAAATATAGAACTATTTTTCACAGCTTGTTCACTGAACAGATTATTGGAGGGAAGAAAAAATAAAAAGGCTTCATTTTCTACAGTTCCCAAATCTCAGTGTAGAAAGTCTTGGCAATTTCCTTTTGAGAGGAGACAGATTTCACTTTCACATTGATTTAACAATGAGAAGTGCGTCCAAAATGAGGGCCTGATTCTGAACATTTAAATGGTTAGCCGTGGTTGATTCAATAGCTTATCTATGGGAGCAAAATTACTCACATCCATAAGCCTATGCAGGATCTGGTCCTAATATAGAACCAGTTCTTGATGTCATAAAATCTTTTTTAACAGCATCTTATGTTACATTTAATTTATTTCACATGGCCTCATAAAATAAGATAAAAGCTTGTAAGTCTAAAAGTCATATAAAAAGGATGGGAAAAAAAAAAAAAGTCCTACAATGTATTCGTGTTTATTAAGTATTATCTTCATGCAACTTATAGAGTTTTAACTCCAGAATTTCCAAATCCTTTCTAATCCTAATAGCAGTCAGCAAGAGCTGCCAGTGCGTAATATAAACAGATTACAACACACACACTTTTTGGAGAAGAAAGTCCTTCCCAGAGCTCCCTCACAGACAGGTCCTCCCTTTCAGCTCATGCTGGCAGCACAGAGCCTTCCAAAGGCGCCTTGCAAGCTCACCCCTCGCCCGGGCAGGGCACGGGCAGGCGATACCCCGCCCCGCCTGGCACCCAGGCAGCACAGCTGTGTGGTCTAACCCCCAAATTTAGCCCAGGAAGCTCCAGGGCGACAGGCACAAGGAACACCGGCTTGCATCAAACATGGTTTAATCTGACAGAGGCCTAAAGAGTGCACAAGCAACTCTGCAGCTCACCTATTCTTAAATATAGAGAAAGGCTCCAAACAGAAAAGTCCGTCGCAGAAAACCGTCTTCGGAGCCAAAGAAGGCCTCACCCTTCTTTAAATGGAGGTCACGGAGTGCCTCCTCTCCACCACTGAAAGTGTGCTTTCTGCTTAGGTGCCAGGAGGGGAAGCAAAGGACCAGAGCCACGTAGCCCAGGATTTAGGATGAGCTCACCTGCAGCCGGCAGGACGTGGCCAGGAGGTCCCAAGAGGCATGCATGGTAGCCTCTGGGTTGTGAGAAGGAAAGTAGGTCTGTGGGTGTAGCTTGGCACCCACAAATTCCCCAGGGAAAAGGGGCTCCTTTTCCAACCTTGGCAGGATGACATTTCTAGATGTCGGGAGGTAAGTGGATTCAGGAACGCAAGTCAGGTGGCGAATCTTGGTCTGCTTTTCGGGGTCCCAAAGGGGTGTGTGCATCTGGGCACTGGGGTACTCCTCCAAGGTTGATGGTGGGGCAACCAAATGCCAAATGGGGCAACTTCCCATTCACAGTGCTGGTCTTTTACTTGTGCAGTGTATAATAGAAATCATTACAAAAGTGCCTTCAGCATCTCAGAGCATGTCAGTGACTTCAGAGGGCTACTGGTATGATTACTTGTTTGCCAACAAGAAAATTAATTTGTAAAAATAATAATAATAATTAAAAAAAAATAGTGCTCTGGTTCTAGTGCCCAGGAGCGGGCATCATAACAAGCTAAGGGAATGTTACATTTAAAAGAAAAAAAGACAAACAAACAAAAAAAAGCCCAACCCCAAAACAAAAAAACAGTTGCCCTTTTTTTCAGCTAGCATTTCTTTAGTTTATTAATGATAACCATTACCATAAGAAAATGATGAGGTCTTACCTGATGCTGCTGTTAGTAAAACGGTTTCACTACCAGAAGGCCATCACCGACCGGCACTGTTTTAGGAACCAGCAGCAGACCCATCGCCTTGCCTCCAGGAAGCACAAGCCAGAGGTAAACCCAGGGGTAATGCAGTAAGCAAACACTGCACTTCCAACCCCAGCCCTGGAAAAGAAAAGTTACTTTCGATGAAGTAAAAGGATTCCTGAGGACAAATTTCAGTAAAGATAAACTTTAACCACAATCTGACACGACAGTCAATAAATAGCTTCAAGATAATCGCACGTACCTCTTTGGTAGGCAGTGGTCTAACCCAGGCAGAGATGCTTTTAGAACATGGATGTTCTCACCAGCCCTTGATATTTTTCTTGTGATCCAGGCAACATCCACATCGAAAAACCTACGCCACAGCTGTCAGGGCTTCTCTCCAGCAGATAATTAAATTCCAACTCTACTGCCATTGTGACAAGTGAGCTCAAGTTTAGTGATACCACCCCTGCCAACCGAACAAGAACTAGAGCCATCAGCTGCACAGTCGTTAATCACTTCGCTGAAAGAAGAGGTGCCTGCAGTACTTACTGGCATCCTCCCAGGGTAGGTGTTCAGCCTCCAGGAGATACCTGACAGTAACATGAATACATCTCAAGGGATGACCATGTTTGGATCACTGTGCTTATGCAAGAAGACCTGGCAAAGTCAACAAGTTTAAAGGATTTTCAAGATCTCTTCCAAACCAGAGAAAGGCAGGTTTAGCTTGGGCAGGCAGCATGGTAGAGTATTGCTAAATCCGAAAGATGAAGCCATTGGCATTTTTTTCCTATGGACTGCCCTCTCAAGTTGCTCTTTTAGGCAAAGAGTTTACTTTTTTCCTCTCCATTTGACCGTAACACGCACATCCCACATTTTTGCAGATATGTTTGTGTTCCTTAGAATATAGCTTTTAAACTGAGCTGATCCATCAAAAATCAGACTGCACATTAGCTAGGACCTGTTTAACTCTCTAATAACTGCTTTTTCGTAGCTGTCTTGCTTCATATGTAAATCTGTTATTTCTAGGCTAGTTACTGAACTATCCAATTTTAAGTACAGATAGAGCAAAACTGTATTTTTTTTTTCTCACAAGAGAAGAACACTGCCTCGCTGCTAGCACCCCAGAGAGACTCCTCCAGTTAATAAAGGGTGACCAGGACTCACGCCTAACAGCCGCACGAGCCATATCTGTTCCCTTGCTTTGCCCGTTGCTCACGTGTTTAAAGCTGGCGTTCGGGCTGCAGTAGCTCCATGGAGGCCGCCGTGGAGATCGCAGTTACAGAGGCGTACATCTGCCTCCGATGTGCTGTGCCAGCCAAAGAACAGCTCAGACCCCACACAGCCTCCAAGCTCTCGCCCGGAACACAGGAGGAGGTATATCTGGCCTCCGGGGAAGCACTCCAGGAGCCTACTGTTAAGCCGACGGCCAGAAAACGCAGCGCATTTGAGCAGGAAATTAAACCTGACTCTCCCATCGCCTCAACAAATGGCTCAACCAGCCTGCTATAAAGTCAGTCTCTTGGAAGTCTCTCCATCCCCTCTTAAAACTGAACACTAGTACACACTTTCTGAATCAAACCCGGCTGCCCCAGTCCACGGGATGTCAGCATCGGAAGCTGGGTGGGCAGGTCTGAGGCTTGACAGCACCTCCATGCTGGGTGTAGAGACTTAAAATTGTGGATAGATAGGTTGGCCCCTCTCTAGATCTCATCCTAGGCTCCCAAAGGCTGAGTTTATTCATCACCCTGTGTGCTTTGCTTGCAGCATTGGCTTCCCTGCTTGTCAACATGCCGATTTCTGAATTCTCAGTGCAAAGGAAGCCTTTCATGGTTTGGCATCCTCTTATATGTTTATGCTTCTCAAGATATATTCTCTAGCCAAGTCTTTAAGTTCTTACATTAGTCCCCAAGCCCAGACATCAATCTGTTGCTGATCAGGTCTTTTCACATCATGCTGCTTTTATCTGGAATGCTGTTTTTGATGCTTCCAGGGAAGCTCTGGCTGATGTTTTTAAGAATGTGGTTAATCTTTTTTTTTCCTTTTTGTTTAAAATGACACTTGAGCACAGCTATTTCTTTTAACCTTATGCTTTTACTGTAAGACTTTAGCAAGAAATTTGCCTGATAAATGCTATTATACCAGGGAGGTCCTGATTTGCATCTTTGTCCTTGGATAGTGTAGAGGCAGCACAGGGGTCCACAAACAGAGACTGATTATTTTTTTTTCCCCTCTTTTATAGTCTACAATAAAAAGTTTCTTTAAAGGGGAAGAAAAGAGAGGCACATGCTTAATATTGAAAAAAAGCCTGCTTGTGCTTGGCACATTGGAGAAACAGTTCAAGAACACTTCATCCTCCTGCAACTATTTCCTGCACTTCTGCCAAGGTTAGGGAAACCTTGGGTTAGCTTCTGTCTGAATACCACAGGCTGGTATCAGTCTGAACAAGTTCAGCTGACTGCTTAGATTTTCATCTTTGTTCTTCCTCCTGTTGTCTCCCCACTTTGGCAAATAGAAATCACCTTCGTCTTTAGGGAGGCCTCAACCTGAAAGCACCCAACAAAGAGAATTCCCCGAGAGATGCTGGCTGGGGGGTCAAGGTCCTTCCATTGAGTCTCCCAACTCGGCTGTGCTGGTGATCAGCCAGCTGTCATGAAAATGAGACTCTGTAGATCAGCGTGGTCTGGGACCAGGTGGGTCAGAAAACACAACAGCAGTCTGATAAATGACTGAAAAAATAGACAAAAAACAACCCAAACAACCCATGCAAAAAAGATCCACACCCCCTCATATATAAACTCCCTTTTTTTCACAACAATGAAGAAACAAAGTGGCAGAAAGCAAAAATAACAGGCAAGTATGACAAACTTTACCTCATCTTTCATTTGACTTTACATGAAAAGCGCCGCTGACCAAACCAGCCCTGGGATGCCAATTGGTTTTGCACACAGATCCTCTGACGCGCATCCCAGAAGAGGAGCAGCCCTGGGACGGAGAACAGACTGAGCGAGGGACCCCTGCTCTGAGCAGCCGCGGGACACCCAGGTCAGCATGGCTACCAATGGGGGAGGCAGTCCTGCCCCCACGCTCGCTTTGGGTTGCCCCTTACACTGGGAACCAGCCCGTTCATTGTCCTTTTACGCTGCTTTAGGTCTAAAGTCTGGATCAACCAAGGGACTGAAAACAGTATTTTGTGTCTAAGGTACTGGATGATTAACCAGAGTCAAAACCTGAACCATTAGCTTAAATTCACATTTAAACACTTTTTTTTTTAAAAAAAAAAAAAAACAAACTAACAAATATATCTGGAGCACCTCATGCAGAAATGGCTTAGGTGAGATCATTACATCACGGAGTATAAGCTCGAATGGGCTTTGACAGAGTTACAACTGTTCTTATCACCATGGAGCTGCCCCAGCGTTTGTGCAGAGACAACAATGCTCTCCTGAACTCATTCTGTGTATCTTATAGTGAGCCACCTGGGTAAACCTGACCTGCTGGTTCATGGAAAATACGACAAAAATACAGCAAATTCCTCCTTTAATGGTTGTTGTCTTTGTAGTAAGGATCACACTAATCGCTGCTTTCTCCCACAGGACTGTGATCTAGGCCTAATTGTAAGAGCTGAAGTCATTTAGAGATGTAAAATGGAGAACACAGGGATAGGAAAGAGCTTGAGCACTTCAGCAGATAAAGGAGAGCAACTCCTTCTGCATGCTCCCTTGGGGAAACTGCTGAAGACACATTGCCATGGCTACTACCTCAGACGACAACTCTTTTTTCAGATATTTTGTGGCAGCAGAAGGGACCCCAGTGAAGGCTTTCTTCTTCCCTCCTGCCCGAGGAGCTGCCAGCAGGGGTTCCTGCTGGCCAGCCCACCTCCTCCCACCGTGCCTGTGCTCACCAGCCCCTTCACAATCCTCTGGGAACCTGGGGCTGCCCTGCCTCTGCTCCCCACTGCACCAGCGAAACCCTGAAGATGAGCTACCAAAAACCTCGCCGTAGCCTTGGTGGGGCTTCCAGGGAAAGGGCCTGGGCCGCGCTGTGCTGGGGGAAAGCTCGGAGGCGGGAAACAGCGGGAGAAAGGCTGGGGGCAATGGGGGAAGAGCACAGGTGTACGGCGGAGGGAGCGTCCAGAAGGAACGGGGTGCACTTCATCATGTCAAGACCTCTTTTTTTTTTTTTTTTTTTTTTTCCCTTCCTTTTCTGAACAACTGTGGTTAGGAATACCTTAATTGGCAGTAACGCAGTTAATGACTAGTAACAGGCGACTGCGTGGGCAGACGGCCAGGGCAGCGAGATGCACAGCGAGCGCAGGAGCCACGGCGGGGTGCACCCCGGGCCCCCCTCGCTGGGCAGCAGCGGGGCCGAAACAGGGACCGGCCGCCAACGGTCCCAGTCGCCCGCAGGGCCCCGTCCCGGGGCGCCCCACCTGCGGACAGCGGCCCCGGGCCCCTCACAACACGGCCCGAGGTCCCTGCAAACAGCGCCCGAACCCCGCGCGTGCCAGGCCGGGGCGCGGGAGGCGAGCTGGGCAGCAGGCCTGCGCCCGCCGCGCGCACACTGCACCCCACCAGCCAAGGGGCTTCGTTTAACACCCACTCGCCTAAGGATTGCTCTAACGTTGCTCATTTCTAGGTCAATTATTGACTTGAATCGCGTTAAAGTTTAACGTAAATATGCCACTATATCACCTGTACATATATTACAGTAATTATATGGTTACGAGATTCTTTTAAAATACTAGAGAAACTAGCTGCTACTGGAAAATGAAGGCTCCCAGACTGCCCTGAAGCCCATGCAAAGAAATACAAAGATTCCCATTACCTTTGTGTCAGCTTCACAAGGAATAATCAATTTAGATTATTAAACACACATACAAATTCATTACTCTCCAGTTAAAATCTTTGTTTCCTAAAAATGTTTTGTCTAACCTTAACAGAGAGGAAAGAGGAGGGGGTAGAGGGTGATCAGAGAAAGGAAAGACATTGTATCATAAGCAGCTTGTAAAGCTACAAACAACATGAGAATTATCTTTTTTTTAAAAAAAAAAAAAAAAAAAAAAAGGCACTGCTAACTTTTTCACTTTTTAGCAAACTTTTCAATTAGGATTTCTTCCTGGCTATTTAAATAATCTT